TGCTGTTAAATGGCGCTCCGGGCCACATGACCCATTTAGTGATGCATCCAACCCTCTAAAATAGGGGTCACCAACGCGGTGCCGGTTGGCACCAAGGGGCCCTCAATCAAGGACAACATGGGTTGCCCTCAGCATCTTTTGAAAACAGAACAATTCACAAGTGGACTAAATCTGAAATGTTATTTTCTGCTGAAGCTCTTATTTTGAAGCATTTATGAAGCATTTTATCATATCAATAAATTAGAACATATGAGGATTTATATGGATTTCATAATGAGAATATCTAAAAGCAAATTAGAAATGAAAAGAAACGATAGAAATATGTTAATTATCTATGAAGTTCAGGTGAACGCCGACTCCTCTAGTTCATAGGTCAGTATTGGTAGCCTGTCCTATGACTCAGTACCCATAAAGTAGCCCCCAGCCTTAAAAAATGGAGCATCAATACACACCAAGAGCTGAATAGATCTTTCTATCCATTTTCCTCTCCACTGTTTATCTAGTTGAATTGTTTCTTTAAAATGCCTTTGTTGTTAATTGGCGCATTATAAATAAACTGAATTGAATTGAATACTGACCTGAAAAATCTTTTAATCTATCATAAATTAAGCTTATGCTTGGGTAAAAATGATGCAATGCTGCTTTGAACCCTTTGTTTTCTGCTCTAAGTCGTGTTTCTTATTTTTAAATCTTGCATTTTATAACAGATTGTATTTTATTCCAGCTTTCAGGGCAGTTTTGTTTTTTTATGTCTCTGAAGCGTGTTTTTCCAACATGACAAGTGGGACTCGTGAAGGACTTACTCTTGAGTTTATGATCTTGAAGAGCAGGAGACATTGTTCATATAAGGAGAAAATAAGAAAGGGTAGAATGAAAATATGACACAAAAAATCAATGAAAATGACATGAAAAGGAAAAAATGACGATGAAAGGAAAAAAGAGGGCAAGTTTACATAAAATGAAATAGCTTTTTGGTGAACAGTCTTATTGTTTACAGTTACAGCTTTTTCTCATATTCTCTATGAAAAGGGTTTCTGTTCCCCACGCTCTCACTTGGCAGGTGTGTGAGCTCGTTGAAGAACTTGCTCTTCATGCTGGCAAACTGGTGGTTGGAGCGGTGAGATGGAGGCGGTGGAGGTGGCCGGGGCTCCCTCCCCTCCTCCTCAGCCGCCCTTCGAAGCCGGGCCTCCACCATATTGACTAATGGCATCGCTGCTCTGAAAAAAACAGAGGATGACAAACAATGAAATGTCATTCATTCCTTTGGATTTTATCAAAATCATCCTTAGGGAAACTAAAACCCTCAGTAATCACATTTATATGCGTCACTTAATTATTCTTTAGCACCTTCATTAAAATAACCAAAATAAAACTACATATGTTATGAATTATTAACTACAGCCATGTTATTGTTAGTCCACCACATTGAACCAATAATTTATAGCTCCTCACAAAAGGTGAACCTCCTCCTTCAACTGCAGCTGCAGCTCTGTGGGGCTCAGGTATGTGCCCAGTGGGCCGGTCCTAGTTTAAATCATACTGGCCCCAACACTTACTCTCCAGACGAAGCCCCTACATGTGACAGTAAATAACTCAAGGAGCTCAAGAAGTAATATATTGTTAACTACCTAAATGATGCATGCAGTATATAGCCTTCAGCCGCTCTGGAACTCATTTCCTCTTGACCTCCGCAGTATTGACTCTCTCCCCTTATACAAAGCCAGACTCAAAACCCCTCTGTTCCAGCTCGCTTATCTGTGAATATGCTGCTCTTTTCCCTATCCATGATTGTCTTTTATGTTCCTGTATCTGTATTTGTATTTTCATCTCTCTTTTTATTTATCTTTTGTATTATTTGTAAAGTGACCTTGAGTGTCAAGAAAGGCACCGATTAAATAAAATGTATTATTATTATTATTATTATTATTATTATTATTAATAATAATTTTAAATTATATTTATTATGCTTTTTAAGTCCAGAAACGCTATTTAAACAGGGTGCTTTAGAACTCAGTGAAAAAACACACCTATTACCCTTTTTTCTTATTGAATTATTTTCCTGTTTTAGTCTAGTCAAGATTTAGAAGAGGTTGTTTTTTTTTCTTAAAAAAAAAAAAAAAAAAAAGAAGATATTTACAGATCTTTTTTTGTTTGAGCGAGGCAGAATTGCATTTTACATGTTATGATTGAGGGAGGTCCTTCCAGCAATAGTTTACTATAAGAATTTTGAACATCATGATGGAGGTGGGGTTGCAGAGTTAGTATTCAGTCACATCCATGGAAAATTTGATATAATATGGTAAACCACCAGAGGACAGCAGAGAGACACATAAGCTTTCAAATCGTTCCCTGATGTTTCCATGTTTCTTCATTATTATTATCAAGAGTTAATCCAGTTGGTACGTTTAGGATCACTGTGTATTTGAAAGATACATTTCAGTACTAAAAATTAGATTATTTTCCTAAAATTTATAGAAAAAAATTGTATTATTTTGTTATGTGAAATTCTTTGTTGTGTTCTTTCTACATCCCTCTGTCAATGTTCAACAGTCTTCAGTTGTTCAATAACCTATAAGGTCAGAAACATTTAACCATGTGTGACCTTTCGATAGAAATTTCTTGTCATCATAATGTTATTCAGCTTTTTAAAAATCATTTAGCTATATAATTCAGCTGGAAATAATTATACTGCTCTATGTAACATATCATGAAGTCAAAAATACTTTTTTACATTTGCAAAAATGAGAACGTGCCTTGAGGTTTTATAAAATTGGTTCCATAACAACACATTTGAAAACACTTATCTTTGCGCTGGTTTGTCAGACAAGATAGCTGTGTTAAAAACACGAAGACATCAGTTTGGTCAGAAAAAGGCAGCATGATTCGGCACACGTTTATTTTTACCTCATCACTGTTAGTATAGAGGACGATCTTTTATTTCTGGCGGATCATCAAAATAAGTGGTCCTCCTAATTGTCAAACATTCTGGTGATATGTTTACATAAGGCCGTCCTAAGTGCTCGTCCCGTTAGTTATCTTTTTCTGCGAATGCTCACGTTCATTTTGAATCTGTGGTGATCTACAGTTTCAGTCATTGAAGCTCACCTCTCTCACCGTGGTTCTTTGAAAACGGCCGAGGGT